CTCTACCCGTCATCCGCCCAGCTGAGTCCCTACGGTTCGACTCCCGCTTCCGTGTCCCCTTCGTGCGGCCAAAACCAGAGCCACCTCGCGTCCTGCGCCTCGACCACCGCGTCGGCGTCCGCCAAGAACTACCACTGCAGCGTGCAAGCCATGAGCCTCTACGCCGGCGAGAGGTCGTCCGACCACAGCCACAGCGCCATCGGGTCGGGCCACCCAACGGGAGGAGCAGTGGACGAATCGCTAGGTGTTGGCGGTGCCTCGGGGTCGCTAGCCAGCACCCTGGGACTGCTGGGACAAGCGTCCGAGCAGGGCATGGGCGGCAACTCGGCGAATTCCCAACTGCAACAAATGCAGCGAGCTGGATTAGGAGGAGGAATCGGAGGAGGAGGAGGAGGGCATCACTATTCCGTTGCCGCCACCGGTCGGCCACCCACATCGGGACCTGCAACGGCAGCTGCCGCCGCAGCCGCCGCCCGCTGGTACCTGGGGCAGGCTGCTGCCGCCACGGGAGATCTGCCCCAGCTGCCCGGGCAGTCGTACGCGGGGCAGGGGCAGGCGGCCGCGGCTGCTGCGGCTGCTGCCGCGGCCGCGTTCGCCCTGGACGCCGCCGCCGCGTCGCGCATGGTTCTGCACGACGGAGCGAACGCGGTGGGAGGTGTCGGTGTCGGTGTCGGTGGCGGTGGCGGTGGTGGTGGCGTCGTTTCGAGTGGCGGGGCAACTGGTTGCCAGATGTCGCCCTTCCGCCTGGCGCCGCCGCTCTACGGCTCGGCGGGGAGCCACTACGGCGGGTACGACTGCGGGAAGTACTGACCGGGAGGGGGGGGGGGGGACGAGGAGGGTGAGGAGGTTGCGGGCACCGGGGGACTGGGGTGGTGGTGATGATGTACGCAACGACGCGTGTCTGTGTGTGTGTGTCTGTGTGTGTCTATGTGTGTGTGTCTCTCTGTTTGTGTGTGTGTGTTTGTGTCTGTGTGTGTGTGTGTGTCTGTGTGTGTGTGTGTGTGTCTGTGTGTGTGTCTGTTTGTGTGTGTCTGTTTGTGTGTGTCTGTTTGTGTGTCTCTGTGTGTGTGTCTCTCTGTGTGTGTCTCTGTGTGTGTGTCTCTGTGTGTGTGTGGGGGTGGTAGCGGTGAGCGCTGACGAACCCGACGACGACCCGGGGATCAAGTCCCGCTCACGGCCAACACCCAGTGACGATTTATTTGAACCGGTCCTGGATCTCCCCTAGGTCGACTCGGCCTCAAATTATTTTCCTGGTGCGGTGTGTAGTAAACATCGCCACTGGGGAGGCAAAAGCGGCCGGGTGTGGTGCTGGCCACCCTCGTGTGCCGTGCCGGCCTTCATAGGTGCTCGCTAACAGCACTTGCCCCAACAGTATGTTAAGGCTACACGGGGAGGATCGTTGTTGTGCGTTTGTGCACATAGCCTGGCACAAGCGCCGTGGTAACGTCACCGCCACTTCGTTTCGATCGACGGCTAATGTTGTGTGTGTGTATCACCATGATGCCATATTTGGTTAGATGGGTTTGGAGGCCATGTTAATAGCTTCATGCCAAAAATGTACGTTGCGTGCATCGCTTATTCACAATCCATGCGTGTGTTGTGTCACGTGCGTGTGTGTGTGTGTGTGTCTGTCGTGCTGTATGTGCGTGTGTGTGTCTGTCGTGCTGTATGTTTGCGCGTGTTATTGTGCGGAGCGCACTTCGCTACAAACCCGGCAACCCGAGTTCGATTCCCTCCACAGTGGCGATTATCTGAACCGGTCCTGGGCCTCCCCTAGGTTGATTCGGCCTCAAGTGGCAAACCTTGTGTGGTGTGTAAACATCAGCAATTGGGGAGACAAAGGCGGCCGGGCGTGATGTCGGCCACCCAACCCCCATCGTGGGCCGTACAGGCCTTCATAGGTGCTCGCTATCGGCACTTGCCCCAACAGTCCGCGAAAGGCTATAGGGGGGATATTTGTCTTAATTATGATATGTGTGTGTATTGCTTCCCTATGTATTGGGATGGCATGTCACGTGTTGTTATGTATGTGGATAACACACAAGTTTGTATGGACTGTATGTGCCTGTTGCACAATTGTGTGTCAGCGTGTTGATGTATAATACATGTGTGTATCACACGTGTATTTGTTTTTTTCCGTGGGGAGACAAAGGCGGCCGGGCGTGGTGCTGGCCGGCCAACCCCCTCGTGCGCCGTGCCGGCCTTCAATAGGTGCTCGCTATCAACACTTGCCCCAGCAGTCTGTTTAGACTATACGGGGGATCTTTGTCTTTCCTATGTTCTGTACGTGTGTGTATGTGTATATATATGTGAGCGTGTGTACGCCAACGTGTATCTGCGCGCGCGTGTGTTTATGTTTGTGTGTGTATGTATTTGTCGTCGTGTGTGTGCCTCTCTCATTGTGTGATTGTGTGCATAGGTGTACATAACAGCCACGATATGAAAAACCAATACCGGTGTTTATACAATTTTAATGTCCTGTAATGTATATACATGCATACACGCAAACAAAGACGGAGATTTCCCGTATAACCTCTAAACAGACTGTTGCGTCTTAAGTTCTGTTAGCGAGCACCTATTGATACACCGCACAGGACACGCAGACGTGGGGCTCAGGAGCGGTGGCGCAGTGGTTAGCACTGCATTGCACTATTGAGTTGGAGTTCGATTCCCGAGGACGGCGATACAAAATCAATCTCGAGTGATCGGCGTGGTGAGCAGTGCCGGGTTCAGCTAGTGCGGGGCCTGTAGCATGATGTTATAAAGGGGACCTAAATAAAAAAAACATGTAAATATTAAAACAATTTTTGTTAACTTTCATAGTAATGTAATTGTATTTTTGCATTTGCTATACAGCCAGATAAAAGAACAAATCGCGAACCTTAAACACCCAGTCGTTCATAAAAGTTGAAGGCGGTATAGTACTATAGTAATAGAGCAAGTGCAGAATCACTGAACCGGAATTGATAGCTTGAAAGCGTTTAGAGGGGGGCCCTTGAAATTGCTGGCCCCCTAGCACATGCTACTTTTGCTACTAGGATAATCCGGCATTGGTGGTGAAGTATGGTCGAGCGAATAGTACTGACATTGCGTACACTGTGCACGTACACATACACCCCCCGCACCTTCGATTGGCTACGTACGGTGCGAAAGAAGGTCAACAACATTCAAAGACAGATGCATACAGAGGCATAATTTTCTGCAGCGCTTTGTCACAGATGAAACACCGCGACAATCGATACATTTTCCCGATTATAATTGAGAGATAGTCATGAACGCGTATTGTTTTTTTAAATGTCATTTAAAAAACAAAACATTTAACTGCGTTCTAAATTCGTATACTGCAAACAATAATATATATGTACAATAAAAAATGAGAGCTAATTTAATCCCGGTGATACAATTATTTAAACTTAAATCTATATCATCTGCTGAGCGTGTAATTCCAATGAACCTCAATTTGATTTAAACAGAACATTTATAAAACGATTAATCGAATCCTAATCTCTATAAATTTATATATATACAATATCGATACAAAAACAAAGATCCCGCCTTTAACAGACCGTTGGGGCAAGTGCTGTTAGCGAGCGCCTTACGAAGGCCGGCACGGCACACGAAGGGGGTGCATGGCCAACACCACGCCCGGCCGCCTTTGTCTCCCCAGCGCTATATATACGAACTAACATACACGCGTACATGTGTACACACAGACAGACACACGAGTATCAAATATCTTCTCTATAGCGATATGGCCTACGTAGACCGTTGCGGTGAATGCTGTTAGAGAGCACTAATTACTGTCCACTAAAGATCCCCCGTATAGCCTCTAACGGACTGGGGGAAGGGATGCTAGGTGGCTATCACCACGCCCGACCGCCTTTGTCTCCTTCCAGTGTTGAAGGCCGAGTTGACCTAGTCGAGGGGAGGACCACAGGACCGGTTCTGCACGTTTCTGTGTTCTGTCACCATTGATGATGATGGTGGTGATGAGCGGGAATCGAACTCTGGTCGCCATTGGAGTGATCGAGCAGCCGTGCGCGAAACCACTGCGCCACCGCTCCCCTTCGTAATCTTTATTGATGTAAAGCTTCCTAGCCTAATGGGCTTTACTCGGGAAAGAATTCACTCTTGATAATCATTTTATTTACGCGTTCAGATCTTATACTGGAAAGTGGGGGCAATGATAATGACGATACGGAGGCAAATGACTATTCGCTAATGTTTAAATATATACATGCCTGATACCATATATATTTATATCCCTGCAATAAGAAGATAAGTTATGACGTTTCGGACAATTGCCCATTCGAAGGAAAATTATTTAACTTTACGTAATTAGTTTTTTTTTTAATCGGTCGTATGTTTATTTTTTACGAAGTGAATGACAAGTCGCGCATTTTATGTCTTGTGTTCAATTACCGCTCTAACAAAGCATCACATGTCACGTGGACGTGTGTGTGTGTGTTCATGTGTGTTCATGTGTGTTCATGTGCGTGTGTGTGGGGAGCGGTAGTGTGTCGTGGTTAGCGCGCTGCGCTGTGAACCTAGTGACCTGGGTTCGATTCCCGCTCACAGCCAACACCAGTGACGATTTTCTGTATCGGTCCTGGGCCTCCCCTAGGTCGACTCAGCCTCAATGAGTACCTGGTGCGGTGCGTCGCCACCGGGGAGACAAAGGCGGCCGGGCGTGCTGTTGGTCACCCACCCCCTTGTGTGCCGTTCCGGCTTTCATAGGTGCTCGCTAGCAGCACTTGTCCCAACAGTCCGTTAAGGCTATACGGGGGATCTTTGTCTTTGTACGTCAACGCACAGACGCGCACCATCACAGCAAAGCCAAAGACCCCCCGTATAGCCTTTAACAGACAGGTGGGGTGCCAAGTGCTGTCAGCGAGCACGCACACACACACACGAGGGCAAATATGCACCCTTTAGCCTCCATAGACTGTTGGGGCAAGTGCTGTTAGCCAACACACGCACATGGTACGTGTGGTATGTGTGCGTGGTGCTGGCCACCCACCCCCTTAATGTGCCGTGACGGCCTTCATAGGTGCTCCTCGCCAACAGCACTTGCCCCAGCAGTCGGTTGAGGCTATACGGGAGGGCGGGGGACCTTTGTCTGTGCGATTCTGACCACAACGCAGCGCTCGCGCCAACAATCTCCGTGGGCTATACGGGGGATCTTTGGCTTTGTATATTATGCATGTTGTATGTGCACCAATGTACGGGAGTGTTTCAAAAAAAGATGTTCACACATGGGATTTAAAGTTTTCGTGACTGCAGGGATCCATACTCTTTGATTCTTTCGGTAAAGTCACGTAGGTAGAAAATAAAATAAACACGTAAAAATGCGCCCACTTTAGCAATTGTTTCTTGCTGTGGTTGTTCCAGCTGATGACGGACGCTTGTGTTGCGCCCGAAACGTCGTGATTTAATTTAATTTTACTTTATACCTACGTGACTTTAGCGAAAGAACCAAAGACTACTTACATGGGACTATCGTTGTTAATGGAAAAAGAATGGACAAGATGCTGTAACGTGATAACAAATGTGATCTTCTTGGTTCTTTCGGTAAAGTCACGTAGAATGGAAATAATAAAATAATAAAAATTAAACATAATAATTCTCACGACGTTTCGGCCACAACGCGAGCAGCCGTCCTCAGGTGACGGCTGCTTGCGTTGTGGCCGAAACGTCGTGAGAATTATTTTATTATGTTTTATTTGTATTATTTTATTATTTACATTCTACGTGACTTTACCGAAAGAACCAAGAAGATGAATCCCTGCAGCCACGAAAGCTTTAAATCG